CAATTGGTCACTGTTTGTGATCCCCGGTCTATACAATCATCCGTTGCCTTCATTTGATGACCCATTGGTTGGCTTTGAAGTCCGCGGCTCTCAAGTGTCCAAAAGAAGCAATTCATGGAAATTACTCCTCGAAAACACATTGAATGACGCGTTTGTCACTCATTATCGCAAAACTGGTGCTAAAAATGAGTCCAAGAACTCAACCATTTTGGATGAAGAAGAACTCAAAGACATTGAAGATATGGAATCAAAACCATTTAGTTCTCGAAGTCATAACCTGAAGAATAATGAGACGTTTTGCGGACCAATACTTGAAGATTACGTACAGTTTGTGGTCGAATCTGACGCTCAAAATGACTTGTTTTCTGTGAAATCAATCAAAACTTTGTGCCAAATGGACACAGAATTGCTTCAAATGAAATCAAATGTCGGAAAAAAGTTATTTGAAGACAAATGTGAAATCAGAAGTTCGGGTCAGTGTTGCAAGAGTTGGTCATTTCATAACTACATAACTCTTTTGGCGCACAAGAAGTCGTGCGACGACATCGACGAGAGGGACATCATATCTGCCAAACGTCTATTGATATCGTGTGCCCCTTATTATCACAATTTGACGCTCAATAATGACTGTTTTCGGGAACCGATGTTATGTCCTAAAGCGCCGAAACATTGTTTTCAGTCGGAGAACGCGGTCTTCAATATAATGCACTATTTGGTGGACAAAGACTTCTTAAGTCCCAACTCTGCGAACGTAACTCAAATCAAACTGACAAATATTTTTCTACCGATCGCTAAAAGCACTCAATTATTGCAATATTTTAAACGATTGTCCGAAAGTGATCTCCGAATGGATGGCCTAAAAGTGGTTGCAATGGACTTAGGATTAAAGCACACACTTTTCGATGAATACCTCATTCACGACACCATTCTCTTATTGATCGCCTTTTTTGTGATATTATTGTCATTATTTCTTTACACCACTTCACTCACGGTTACAGTGATTACTCTCGTATTAATTATCACTTCATTGGGAAACGCATACTTTGTTTACACAACAGTCTTCGGGATCTCTTTCTTTCCATTTATGAATCTGTTAGCCGTTGTCATCGCTGTCGGTATGTCTTATCATAATAACCATCGCGTGTTAACACAGTTTTATTGATTTCTGTATATTTCAGGCATCGGTTCCGATAACGCATTGATTTATTGCAAAGTCTGGCAAAGCATTAAATCAGACAAAACGAGTGTTATATTAGTTAAACTAATTGGCGATACATTGAGCCACACGTGGGTCTCTGTATTTGCCGCCAGCTTTACCACTGGTCTGGCATTTATTGCCGCGTATTTCTCAGAAATAACTTCAATGAAATGCTTTAGGTTTGTCTTCATTTTAACTCTCATTTCTTTGCATTTAATTTTACTAATGTTTAATGCAATTGGTTTTGCAGTCTATTTGCCAGTACTTTCGTTGCCGTGAGTTTTGTGTTAACAATGCTTTTGCTGCCGACGGCTGTTATTATATCCGAAAAATATTCCTTAAAATACTTCTCATTCAACTCTTTTTGGAGATTTCACTCATTTATTACATTTATTGGGAAATTATTTTTTGAAAAAATTCTTCTCAAATTTGTTATGAAATTCCGTTACATTGTTGTGATATTGTTTGGTTTGGCGTCCATTTGCTCAGTAGTTGTGGTCGTCTTTGCGCCGAAACTACAACTTCCAGACTCTGAAGAATTCCAGGTTTTTAATGCCAACCATTACTTCGAAAGATATGATTTCGAGTTTAAGAACAAATTCTGGTTCAAACGCGTGAGGGATCAGAACAACGACTACTTGTATTATATGCCCATTAGAGTGGTATTGGGTGTCGACGCCGAAGACAACGGCGATTTCCTCAACCCTTCGAGTAGAGGTTCCATACAATATAAGCCAGACTTTGATATCTCTGCCAAACGAAGCCAGAAATGGTTGATTGAATTTTGCCGTCAAATTCGTAACCAAAGCTTTTATAGGCCAACGATTGGGCCCTTACTCTCCAACTGTTTCATCGAGACTTTCAAGTCATGGATGGAAGACAGGGAATGCGTGGACGCTATCAATGGTTTAAATCGAAATCCCTGTTGTCGTAGCTCTCGTTTCCCATACAAACCATCGGTTTTTGACATGTGTTTGAGACAATTGATTGACTTATTAGGCAAAACACCTGATTATTATCTGTCGCACAGTTGGGCCGGACCTCGATTTGACAAGAAATCACTGCAAATAGTGGCCGCTGTTGTCGAATACGATTCCATTTATACATTCTCTCACTCTTTCATTGAAATGAATAAATTCTGGACAGAAGTGAATGACTGGGTTTCGGATCAAATGAAAAGTGCGCCCAAAGGCCTGCAAAACGGATGGTTTATTAGCAGTCAAATGGATTTTTATGCCCTCCAACTCTCACTATCCGAGGGAACCGTTAAATCAATTTTATTTGCCGTATTCTTCGCGTTTGTGGCACTCATTACCACGACTTGCAACTGGAGACTCAGTGTGTTGTCCACCATTACTATCTCGTCCATTATCTTCTCGACAATCGCTATATTAGTGGCACTCAATTGGAAACTCAATGTTTTAGAGAGCATTAGTATTTTATTAGCCATCGGTTTGGCCATTGATTTCACTCTTCACTACACTATTGCTTATAAACTGTCGACACAAGTGGTAAGCATTTGATTAACAAAAAAGCATTTGATTTTTAATTGCTATGTCTTTCAGGAGAACCGAATGAATGCAATTCATTACGCGTTGTGTCGGATCGGGAGTCCAGTGGCGATGTCAGCGCTCACCACTTTCATCGCCGGACTATTAATGCTCTTCTCCTCAATCCTGGCGTACATACAAATCGGCACTTTTCTCGTCGTTCTCTCGTCTATAAGTTGGTTGTATTCAACGGTTTTTCATTTGGTTTGTCATTTCAAGCATTAATTAATGTAAACACCATTTAATTGTAAACAATTTTGACATTTTTATAGAGTTTGTTAAGTATTTTTGGTTCCCATGAAATGAATGGCAGAACAGAACCTTTGCTTTACTGTTGTCTTGTGTGCAACGGATCTTCAAATACTTCTTCAACTCATCAGAACTCGACTGTAGAGTCGATTACGAGTGACTCTAAACATAATAATAGGCCGAACGGATCAATTGGACCCACATTTTCAATGACAAGTTTCTCTTCTTCGAGTGCCACTGAAAGCACATTAAGTGCTCAACACATCCAAAGCCAACCAGAATGCCATGAAATGCAACAAATTATTAATACAATTAACAAATGAATCCATATTTTTCTCATTATGTTGAATATGATCTCAAATGTTGTGCCAATTATACTGTATTTTGAATTTTAAAAGTGTGCGAAAATATTAATTATTTATTCAATTTTTAAATACTTTAAAATTTTTAACTTTAAAAGTTTTCGATATCTATTGTTTCGATGTTTAATATTATATTTACATAAAGAGTTGTTTCAAATATAAAATAAAGTTATATTTATCTTTCAATCAATCAATTAGTGATTGTTATTATTATTGGTTATCGTTTTGAACCGTCTTTTAGCAGACCTATCGTTATGCAAATCAAATGCCTTTTCAAACACTTTGATAGTAAAGTCGATGTCCTCTTCATTCACACACATCGGAGGTTTGACTCGAAAGACATTATTCTTTGGACCTTAAATCACAAACAAGTTATACATTATAACACATTTCATATTCAATTCAATGCATACCTCCTCTGCCGACGAGTAAACCCATGTCTTTGCAATCCTCCAGAATTGAGTCGAAGTCAGACTTAATCATTGGTTTTCTATCTTTCTATTTAAAGAATTGATCAAAATTTCAATTGTTTTTTAATATTTTGTGTTAATTTTGAAATGAATTATTAAAAGAACGGATTCTAACTGTATTTGTGGTCATTTCAACGCCAATCATGAGCCCTTTTCCTCTCACGTCTCCCACAATATCCGCATATTTTTGGCGAAGACTTTCAAATCCGTGCAATAATTTGGTTCCCATTATATGGCAGTTATTCTGGAGATTCTCTTCGTCTATGATTTTGAGTACATTTAGTCCGACACAAGACGCCAACTGTTGGACACATAGATTGTAGTCAATTGTGTTTTATATATACTGTACTCTACTTTAATCATTAAACACTATATTTTATTTTCATTTTATCAGTGGTTTTGTTGGGATGAATGAACACAATTGTCATTTTTAAACGAGAAGAATAAAGAATCTCGTTCATAGAATGCATGTACAGTATATCCCTAATTAATGTTAGACACTTCCCTCCCCTGTCAAATATATTCCAGGAATATATTTTTGGGAAGAAAGATATTTTATTAATATCTTCCTGAAAACAGGGAAAATAAGATAAAATGTGGTCAAACGATGACCAGTCGATGTATATAAATAGTTTTTAACCACAATTCAGTATGAATAATGTGGTTTATAGGATCATTTGGCTACTCAAATTGAAAACTAAACTGTGAATTTTGCATGAAGCACAACCAAATTTATTTAATACGTGTTTTGTTTCACACAATTTTTGTTTTTCACACAATTTTATGTGAATCTAAACTAAAATCACCTTGTAGCAATGTCCATATAATGAGAAGCCTCGCAATTTTTAACAGTGAAGCACTAGTTTTACGTTATATTAATTGATTTGATTGACATTTTGAAGGCATGTTTATACGTGACAATACATTATAATTGTATTATAACTGTATTACAAAACTAATAATTACTTTTAATTTTTATTACGATTCGAGAAAATGATTGAATTTTATTAATTTATTTTATATAATAATAAAAATTCTGAAATTCTTACGGGATTTCCGCCAAATGTATTGAAATATGAGGCAGAGGTCAATGTGTTGGCTATGGACGCAGTGGTGGCCACAGCAGCCAATGGGAACCCATTCCCTATACTCTTAGCCATTGTCACTGATTTAATCAAATCATATATTGTGTCAACACATGGATTGCAAATCAAAGAATGCAAACCTATATCTGGAATCACTTCGTGTCCTTCGAAACCCCAGAAGTGAGTTCCGGTTCTCCCGAAACCCGTTTGAACCTTAAATCACATTTCATTTGCAAATTATCATCACTTTTATCAATCAATTGAACGTCAAATGCATACCTCATCCATAATACAGATACCATTTCTTTCTCGAACTAATAGACAAAACAGAATTCATTGATTTAAAAACATTTAATGTCTGAATGAATGCAAACCCATTTGAAAGGCTTTCTTAAGGAATTGTTTGGGAAACTGAACGACTCCTCCGACGCCTTGTATGGACTCAGCGATGAAAGCGCACACAGTTTTGGGTAAAGTCGAGTCAAACACCTGTTGAAGATCTTCGATATAACGATCGCAAGCATCGCATTCATCGACACCGCAGTCACAGTCGCGGGTCGTTTGGACCACAGAATCGCGACATTTATTGCCACCAAAACTGTAGTTATTGTCAATAAAAATAAGTTTCCGGTTAAAGACAGAGAGACGACATGTAATACCGGCCGGAATATGGGTCGGGATTAGTGGTGTGATGGACACCAAAGTGTGAGGGAATCGGGAATTTCCAACTCTGAACGCCACACAGGGGTTGAGTGCTCGTAGAGTCGCCGTGATATGCGTTACGCAATGCTATTATATCGTAGGATTTGGTGTAAAGTCTACGTTTGGTTTAAAATTCATACATCTATTTAGATCTTATAGTAATTGAATGCTAAAGCAATCGTATAAAACCTGGCCATAAGTATAGCGATATCATTGGCTTCTGAACCGGAATTACAGAAAAAGATATTATTAAGCGGTTCCGGGAGTCGATTGGCTAAGTTTGAGGCGTATTCGTGGACCTCTTCGTTGTAGTAAATACTGCTCGTGTGCCACAACTTCTTCAGTTGTTTAGTGGCCGCGTCTACCAGTTTTGGGTGACAGTGACCGACACCTGTGGTCACTATCCCTCCGAACATATCTTAGCCCAATATTCAATCAATAAATACAAATTAATTGTCATTCATTACAATTCCATTTTAATAAATTAAATTTTAACATAAAATATAACCGACTATAAAGTTATACTGTATACTGTATATATTATTTTTACATGTATATACAGTATATTTACAGTATATTTAATCTTAAGAATTGAAGGAATTGTATTTTATTTTTTAGAATTTATTTTAAAATTAAATAATCTACTTTACATAAAATCTAATATATATATAAATATTCTTTAACATTTATGACAAAAATATTGGTTCTATTATATTACAAATGAATTAATTACAAATCTAATGTAGAATTGGGCGGAGCGTCAAAAAGTTTTATGCAAATTCTGAATTCTCTCTATTAAAGGATTCAATTGACATATAATATCCCATAACGTTTGCAGATCAGATCATTTGCTAATTTATTAAAATTATGTTACAAATAGTGTATTCAAAAAAGTTTTTTAAGAGTATCGATATTTGACAAATCTAGTTTTATGTAAAATCTATTAATTGGTATTTCAAATGTATTTTTAATAGCATTTCGTAAACTATATATTTATTAAATGTTAGTATTCATAAAAATCTATTATTTCAAGGTTTTGATAATATTTTAGATAATTTTAAACGATGTTCACAGTAAAAGTAAACGATTTTCCCATAATTTTAGATACAATTCTTGTATACTATGTTTGACATAATGTGAGAGTAAATCATTGATACTGTACTACAGAGTAGTGTTTTAAGCGGTTTTAAGTTTAAGTTATGATTGAATCGTCAATAATATGGTATTAATATCTCAAACTTATTCTCAAATAACCTTCGCTTTTAATTTATAATTCAATTAATTGAAATTTCATACAAAATAACTTATAACACAGCGTAATATCAAACAACAGATTTAAGTTTTTCGTTAAAAATACACGTTTTGTTTACAAAAATTTTCAAGTTTATAAACTTTAAGTCTAATATTGTAATATATTAATGACTTAACATATAAATATTAAACAATATTGGTAATATTATAATAATAATGTAAATTAATAGCATAATGATAAACATTTACCTAAATATCTATTGTTCTCATTATCCCAAACATATTGCATATATCCCTGAGTGAGGATAACAGGCTTTTGATACCACGGTTTGAGACATGGATTCAAATTAAGTTTATGAATGGTCTCGATCTCGAAGTTACCTAATCTCGGCTTTACATCAAAAGTAAAACTTATTTCTTTTGTTTAACACTTTTTAATTAGAATTTCTTACTTTACTGTTGTTTGCAATGAAATCACATTTTGGAAGCTCTGGTCGTGTTTTACTATAATATCTCAAAGAATTTAATGATGTTTTAACACAATCTTTATTGAATACGAATAAATATTTCATATTTTAAATAATAATACAAATTAGATAAACAATGAATACATAGAGTTATACAGTAGTCGTGTATCCCATAGACTGCTAACACTGTTTACTAACAGACGCTGAAAAACTTGACTCCACTTTTAGTGTGCAATATATGTGAGGAAAGGGTTAAACGAGAGCTTCAGACAAGTATTTGACTGCACTCTATATGTTTAGGATTCGTGT